TCTCGCTTTTTGACTCCGCCAAGGCGAGACAAAAATCATTATTAAAGGAAAATCATCGCTTTAATAGGTCAACTAATGCTTTCAGTGTAGATGTTGTAATTGTGATCATTTATTTGTATATAATTTCTGCCTGTCTATTATATAGTTTTCAAGAAAATAAGCAAAACACTAAAATTAAAGGAAAATTGTTAATTCAAGGGCAATAACTCCTATAAAGATTCATCTGATAATTTGGAAGAAATGGGAGATATTATACGTTATTTTGAAAATTAAAACAAATTTTCTAAATCTTCACAGATGTCAAGATATTTGATCATGACTTGCATTATACCTTTATGTTCTATTTTAAGCCATATGCATGTCTGTTGGTTAGTGGGGACAAAAACAAATAAATACAACATTCAGCCCAAGTTTGATTGAAATAGGTGCAGTGTTTTCAGATGGCAGATTTTAAAAATATATAAGATGACAGAGGATGGTGACGATAGAATGGACTGCAAGTGACAATAACAGCTCACATGGGCCAGGTGAGCCAACAAAAGATACATAAAACATACAATAAAATTCAGGTCAGAAAAAGCACTGACCCTTATAATACATTCATAACAGACAATGCAAAAACAGGCCTAACAATGATAAGTATTACTGTATAAAAATGCAAATAATTATGTGGGTTGGTTGTATTTACTTTGGGACTGAACATATAAATGTACAATTGTTTCATTCAACAGTTTTACAGAATGTCCAAAACTTTAAGACTTTTCCCTTATTTTCTGACATAAGATTGCAAAAGATTTATGGTATTGCACTTGTAGTCATCAACAGCTGTTTCAGTTTATAATCCTTGTTGGTGGTGATTTTTCACAGTGAATGCTGGTGATTACAGATAATTCACACTGACATCTCCCTGTATATTCATCAGGAAGTGCATCAGAGTTCTCGAAAGTGATGGTCCGAAGGTTTTGACAACCAAAATTTGGCAAAGGACCGACACAGTTTTGGTATTTTGCATAAGAAATAATAGTGAGAATCAGCAGATTTTTCATCAAGGACCACTAGGTAATAACAGATTTTGAGAACTTTGGTATACGACAAGGGCATCATTCTAAATCACCAGCAATCACTACGTTTTACTGTTCACTCTCAATAACTTTTGATAGAATCACCTTGTTTTCACTGTACACCTGTATCTTGGCAGAACACAGAATATTCAGGGATTGCTACAATTCAACCTTCCTTCAAATAAGGGTTATATAACTTTCAACTTTAGCAATGAGTTTTCTGAACTTCACCTTTCAAATTCTTGTTCATTTATGTTCCTGTGAAATAAATACCTTATCTCCCTTTCAAAAATAGTACTTCATCTTGCAATCCCTGTACCAATGTGTTATCTACCTTTCTCCCCTGTCTAAAACTTAACCACACATGGTTGCATTTATACCTGAAGAGTCAATACACATTAGTATCATTAAGACAGCTCTAAGTACTGTTTAAATGTACCACTTGGCAAGATACCTATTTTCCTTAAATCATTATAGGGTACAGATCCATGTAACTAGAATTACCTCTGGCTCCTTTGGAGGTACAGAAAAATATTATAAAAATATGTACTATGAACAATAAATACCTGTATCTTTGGGATAATTGCTAGCTCCCTGTAACACTAGGTTAGCAACCTTCCTTCCTCTAAATATTTACAATACACATGTAATTAAAAATAAATACCTGTATCTTTGGGATAGTTGCTGGCTCCCAGTACCACAGGGTTAGCCACCTTCCTTCCTTTCATCCTTTAAACATTTACAATACACATGTACAATAAATACCTGTATCTTTGGGAAAGTTGCTAGCTCCCTGTACCACTGGGTTAGCCAACTTCCTTCCTTTAAACATTTACAATACACATGTACAATAAATACCTGTATCTTTGGGATAGTTGCTAGCTCCCTGTACCACAGGGTTAGCCACCTTCCTTCCTTTAAACATTTACAATACACATGTACAATAAATACCCGTATCTTTGGGATAGTTGCTAGCTCCCTGTACCACTGGGTTAGCCACCTTCCTTCCTTTAAACATTTACAATACACATGTACAATAAATACCTGTATCTTTGGGATAGTTGCTGGCTCCCTGTACCACAGGGTTAGCCAACTTCCTTCCTTTAAACATTTACAATACACATGTACAATAAATACCTGTATCTTTGGGATAGTTGCTAGCTCCCTGTACCACAGGGTTAGCCAACTTCCTTCCTTTAAACATTTACAATACACATGTACAATAAATACCTGTATCTTTGGGATAGTTGCTAGCTCCCTGTTCCACTCGGTTAGCCAACTTCCTTCCTTTAAACATTTACAATACACATGTACAATAAATACCTGTATCTTTGGGATAGTTGTAGCTCCCTGTACCACAGGGTTAGCCACCTTCCTTCCTTTAAACATTTACAATACACATGTACAATAAATACCTGTATCTTTGGGATAGTTGCTAGCTCCCTGTACCACAGGGTTAGCCAACTTCCTTCCTTTAAACATTTACAATACACATGTACAATAAATACCTGTATCTTTGGGATAGTTGCTAGCTCCCTGTACCACAGGGTTAGCCACCTTCCTTCCTTTAAACATTTACAATACACATGTACAATAAATACCCGTATCTTTGGGATAGTTGCTAGCTCCCTGTACCACTGGGTTAGCCACCTTCCTTCCTTTAAACATTCACAATACACATGTACAATAAATACCTGTATCTTTGGGATAGTTGCTAGCTCCGTGTACCACAGGGTTAGCCAACTTCCTTCCTTTAAACATTTACAATACACATGTACAATAAATACCTGCTGTATCTTTGGGATAGTTGCTAGCTCCCTGTACCACTAGGTTAGCCACCTTCCTTCCTTTAAACATTTACAATACACATGTACAATAAATACCTGTATCTTTGGGATAGTTGCTGGCTCCCTGTACCACAGGGTTAGCCAACTTCCTTCCTTTAAACATTTACAATACACATGTACAATAAATACCTGTATCTTTGGGATAGTTGCTGGCTCCCAGTACCACAGGGTTAGCCACCTTCCTTCCTTTCATCCTTTAAACATTTACAATACACATGTACAATAAATACCTGTATCTTTGGGAAAGTTGCTAGCTCCCTGTACCACTGGGTTAGCCAACTTCCTTCCTTTAAACATTTACAATACACATGTACAATAAATACCTGTATCTTTGGGATAGTTGCTAGCTCCCTGTACCACAGGGTTAGCCACCTTCCTTCCTTTAAACATTTACAATACACATGTACAATAAATACCCGTATCTTTGGGATAGTTGCTAGCTCCCTGTACCACTGGGTTAGCCACCTTCCTTCCTTTAAACATTTACAATACACATGTACAATAAATACCTGTATCTTTGGGATAGTTGCTGGCTCCCTGTACCACAGGGTTAGCCAACTTCCTTCCTTTAAACATTTACAATACACATGTACAATAAATACCTGTATCTTTGGGATAGTTGCTAGCTCCCTGTACCACAGGGTTAGCCAACTTCCTTCCTTTAAACATTTACAATACACATGTACAATAAATACCTGTATCTTTGGGATAGTTGCTAGCTCCCTGTTCCACTCGGTTAGCCAACTTCCTTCCTTTAAACATTTACAATACACATGTACAATAAATACCTGTATCTTTGGGATAGTTGTAGCTCCCTGTACCACAGGGTTAGCCACCTTCCTTCCTTTAAACATTTACAATACACATGTACAATAAATACCTGTATCTTTGGGATAGTTGCTAGCTCCCTGTACCACAGGGTTAGCCAACTTCCTTCCTTTAAACATTTACAATACACATGTACAATAAATACCTGTATCTTTGGGATAGTTGCTAGCTCCCTGTACCACAGGGTTAGCCACCTTCCTTCCTTTAAACATTTACAATACACATGTACAATAAATACCCGTATCTTTGGGATAGTTGCTAGCTCCCTGTACCACTGGGTTAGCCACCTTCCTTCCTTTAAACATTCACAATACACATGTACAATAAATACCTGTATCTTTGGGATAGTTGCTAGCTCCGTGTACCACAGGGTTAGCCAACTTCCTTCCTTTAAACATTTACAATACACATGTACAATAAATACCTGCTGTATCTTTGGGATAGTTGCTAGCTCCCTGTACCACTAGGTTAGCCACCTTCCTTCCTTTAAACATTTACAATACACATGTACAATAAATACCTGTATCTTTGGGATAGTTGCTGGCTCCCTGTACCACAGGGTTAGCCAACTTCCTTCCTTTAAACATTTACAATACACATGTACAATAAATACCTGTATCTTTGGGATAGTTGCTAGCTCCCTGTACCACAGGGTTAGCCAACTTCCTTCCTTTAAACATTTACAATACACATGTACAATGAATACCTGTATCTTTGGGATAGTTGCTAGCTCCCTGTTCCACTCGGTTAGCCAACTTCCTTCCTTTAAACATTTACAATACACATGTACAATAAATACCTGTATCTTTGGGATAGTTGCTAGCTCCCTGTACCACAGGGTTAGCCACCTTCCTTCCTTTAAACATTTACAATACACATGTACAATAAATACCTGTATCTTTGGGATAGTTGCTAGCTCCCTGTACCACAGGGTTAGCCAACTTCCTTCCTTTAAACATTTACAATACACTTGTACAATAAATACCTGCATCTTTGGGATAGTTGCTAGCTCCCTGTACCACAGGGTTAGCCACCTTCCTTCCTTTAAACATTTACAATACACATGTACAATAAATACCTGTATCTTTGGGATAGTTGCTAGCTCCCTGTACCACAGGGTTAGCCACCTTCCTTCCTTTAAACATTTACAATACACATGTACAATAAATTCCTGTATCTTTGGGATAGTTGCTAGCTCCCTGTACCACAGGGTTAGCCAACTTCCTTCCTTTAAACATTTACAATACACATGTACAATAAATACCTGTATCTTTGGGATAGTTGCTAGCTCCCTGTACCACTGGGTTAGCCACCTTCCTTCCTTTAAACATTCTTTGCCGTTTTCATGGACATCTACAAAATATACAGTTTGTTAATAGAAAGATCTAGGTACTTTTTTTTCTTAATTAGGTATCCAAATATAGATCTATTAATGGTTTCTTGATAGTACTTATTTTGTACATTTCTTTCAAAAGCAATTTTGAAAACTATTCATAAGGGACATATGCAGTCATTCAGGTAATGAATATGAATTCTAATTTCATAGGATTCTGTATATCTTCAATAAGCTTAAAATAAACTGTTATCACAGAGATATGTCTCGCCTTTTTGTAATTTTGATAATGCAAATGTTGAAATTAAAATTGCAATACTTTAACAGTATACCTATGTCTCGCTTTTTCACTCAGTCAAGGCGAGACAATAAATGAGTGAGATAATCTTCTTATCACAAACACATCATGCATCAACTTTTTATTACAAAAAAAAGAACAAGGGCAACAACTCTTTTTAAAGAAAATGTTAAATCAAACTAACTCAAAAAATTAATGTACATGTACCCTGGAATCCAAGTTTTATGGTGGAAGACAAAAATTTCAGAGGACTTGGTTAGATGAACATGGGCCAAAAAATTAATGAACATAAAAACCCTTACAAAACACATGATTCATCCCTCAACTTTCACAACTAACCTCTCATAGTATAAAAGCTAATAAAGAGTTCAATACAAATGCAGCAAGTCCAAACTAGCATCAAGTTCTTTCTGTGTCTAATTTATTTTTTCAAACACAAATGTACATGTTGTAAAAGCTAATATTATTTCTTAATTTACTGTGACATCATTTATTTTTGTTGTTTTAGATACATTTTGTATTTGTGGATTGATGAAAAATTGTAATTTTGAGGATACTTGAGTTTGTTGTTTAAAAATTTAATGTTTAAAAATAATATAAAATTGTGGAACACTAAAATAAATAGGTAAAGGTGGAACCATATATTTTAGTGTTCGACAAAACAAACAAGTCCCATGAAATGTAATTATAGGACACCCTGAGACCTTCAACAATGAGCAAAAACCGATAGCATATGGTCAGCTTTAAAAGGCCCAGACATCACAAAAAGGAAAAAGATTCAAACGATAAGACCTTCAATTCATAAAATTTAGTTACAAATCATTTTTGATCGTAATTCAAACAGAATCACTAATGTCGAACATGAAGGCTGCTAGTGGTTGTAGGCGGTAACATTCAAGATTTTAAAATAATTTTAAACTCAATCATCTTGCGTGTACTGAATATGATTTCCTACAAGACTGAAAAATTAGTTGGTATTTTTAAAAACCCTCTGTGTATTGCCTATTGTAGAAATTTTCATGATTGACGTGTGTTTGATCTACATTTTGATAAGAAATTAAATCAATTAAGGTTTATCAAAACAAATTATTTGTATACTATGAAAGGGAAAAATTATGTTTTTGTCCTTGAACTAGCTATTAAGAATGTACAAATTCCATAAACACCTTTAAAAAATTGGTTTTTATTATGATTCCAAATATTTTATGTACCAAGCTTTCTTTGAACGAAATGTGTTCTCGATGTGATTTTCATATAAATGACCAATTATGTTGTCTAAAGTTCAACTGGGGGTAAAATTTGGTTTAAAATTTCAGCAATTACAATAGCTACAAGCACAACATTTACAATAATATATGCATACAACATATGCCTTGGTCCAGCAGTAGTGACAGAAAAAAACATCTTTTGTTAACCTGGCCATTTTTTATCCTTACATGTACATGATATTAATTCTTAGTTTCTTATACACCTTTTATACTTTCTGCAGAAAAACAGTTCTATAACAGAAAGTCTAACTTTTTTATGCTGATGACGTATACAACAGTGCTTTTTTTTATATATCCATCTTAAATTCTTAGAACTCTGAAAGGTATATAATGTATTCTATTCAAACTCTGAAATCAGCTGTTAATATTATGTTGAAATTTTAAATCATAAAACTGTATACACATAAAACAGCAGAGGTATGTCTCCCCTGTATGTAATTAATTATTTTATAAAATAATACAAACGTTGGAATTTATTCAAAGTAAATGGACAATGACCTGACATGACTGAGAGGGAAGGGTCAAATTATTTCTGAGGAAATGAGATTTGCCAATGGTAATACACTTAAATACCAAATATTATTGACTTACCATAAGTGGTTCTCCTTAAGTATGTTAAACTGGCGTAATCACAAACTTTAACAATTGTTGTCTTGTTGATGCTGACACCAGAAACATCAAGACAAGTTGGAAAACTTTTTCAAGAATCAAAAGAATCTGACCACTAAGGCTTTATTTTTTAACAGATATTTTTTAGTCAATTTTGCACATATCTTTGAGCAATTAAAGTTAAAAAGACTTCTGTAAATATCTACAATGTTAAATAGCAATTAAAATTCTTTAGAAATTACTTTAAACTTCCAAGATAAAATGAAAATAACAAATAAATACTACATTTTAAAGTAAAATCACTTCCAAAGAGGCCCAACTTCACAATCATCAATTTAATATTTACTACACAAACTGTAGCAATAATGGATCATTTGGACCCTGTTTCCTTTGAAATTGTCAAGTGTTTTAAATATCTATGATCTTGTTTTAATTTTTTTAACAAAAGACACTACATTAACTAGTACTGTATCAATTCCAATTCAAGTTAGGAATCCATTTCCCTACAACAAATATACAAGTAGAGGCTCCAAGGTTGTGCCCTGGTTTATGCATTTATATATATATATATATTGTGGCCTACAAACTACTGACAGCATGTTCTGCACAACAATTTGTTAATTTTCTTAGTGTAACAGTTGTACATGCCAAAATGTGTCACAAGTGATGACCATGATTAAGCATTTTACAAGGTTGTTATACATGTAAATGTGTATTGTCATGACTCTTACAGTTTTAAGAAATTTATTCCTCCTCCCAAACATCAATATTGAAAAAAAAATTACCAGCATATTGATTATTGATAATTTGTATAGCATTCAAGATTTTTATTTCAGTTTGACTACCACATGTCAAGATAAGATTCATTTTACATCTTACTGATGAAGGATATTAGTTATTCAAAATATATAAAATTTGTTCATGATTTAATTATTTTTTGGTGATGTTGTACCCTTTTAGACTTGTTATATATTATATTTTGTAGTGTACTGTATCATAATTTTATGATCCATTGCCCCGTAAGATTTATCATTGGCTATTATTCAGTCATTTAATATTGTCATTTTTATGATATATTTTAATATCAGTATCACTATGTATTTAAAAATGCATAATGAAAGTGAACTCATACGTATAAAGTTTATATATTACCATTCTTGTTTAAGGAAAAAATATCCTGAAAAGATGTTTTCCCTAATGTTGGTCAGTGTTCTCGAAAACTGAAGGTCTGAAGGTCATGTTGGTCCAGACCACAAAATACATGTATCAAGTACATGTATTTCCTTAAATTTTTATCGTAGAGGTGGTCCTGAAAACCTATTGAAAGTTTGCAGTGGTTTTATTCATTTTTAGGCTGTCTGGTATTTCGAATAGCTCCTGATTACAATGCATATATGTATATCAATATTTGATATGGAACTATATCATTATTGGGCTATCTGGCTTTATCTCAGCGATCACCAAATTTCAGAATTTTAGGGAGTCCGAGAAGTGAAAACCCAACATAGAGACTTCAGGGAGAAATGATGAATTGAATAAATGCTTTTTATGAATGAAATTCCCCAGCATCTATACCGTCTTTTTATTTCCTAAATCTTTTGTACGACAACATGATGAAGGAATTGAAAAATAATATATTGATGAATTTTTTCTGTATCTCAAATCCTTTTTCAAATCAAAGCCTGTTTTGCCAATGAGACAACTCTCCACCAGAGACCAAATGACATAGAAGTTAGCACTATAGGTCACCGTACGGCCTTCAACAATGAGCAAAACCCATACTGCATAGTCAGCTATAAAAGGCCCCAAAATGACAAATGTTAAACAATTCAAATGAGATACCTACAATCTGTGCTTAAATATAATAAAGCAAGAACCTAGGACCCCTTTCCAGCTTCCAAAAAGAAATAAATTCAAATATGATCAGGAAACTAGATGTGTCGGAACGACCGAAAGGGGACAATGGCCCCGTCTCAAAAAGTTGGAAAAACTGCTATTTCAACAACACATGCGTACACAAACATGCATGAATCAGCAGAGCAGAACGAAACTTAAACTTGATCTATAACACATCATGGTAAACTCACATACTAAAAATCAACCCAATATCTGAAGATGTTTAGAAAAAAAATTTGTATAACTGTTATTTTCAACAATTTATTAAAGTCAAAAGCCCGTAATTTTGGCAAAAATTAGCAGAGCAGAAAGAAGCTTTAACTTGATCTGTAACTCATCATGGTTCACTCACTTACCAAAAATCAGCCCAATATCTGAAGGCGTTTAGAAAAAAAAGTCTGTATAACTGTGATTTTCAACAATTTATCAAAGTCCAAAGCCCTTAATTTCAACAAAAATTAGCAGAGCGGAACAAAACTTTCACTTGATCTGTAACTCATCATGGTTAACTCACATACCAAAAATCAGTCCAATATCTGAAGGCGTTTAGAAAAAAAGTCCGCATAATGGTTTGTTGCGGAATGACAGAATGACAGACAAGGGTAAAACAATATTGCCCCGACAACTTCGTTGTGGGGCCATATAAGTAGGGGAAAATTTTATTTAGAACTTATATGTTTATGCATGGGAGGAGAGAATCTGTAATAAGAGGGATAACTCCAATTGTTCAATTTAAATTGTAGCACTTTTTCCCATAACAAAGACACAGATAGTGCGAGGGCTTTATAGTCAGTCAAGGTCGTTAATAACCCCCATCATCATTTTTCCTGTCTCGTCTAGAAATTTTTTTTGAAATCAAACATAAATAAAAATATATTTTCAATATCTGTTTATGGATAATGTATGCAAGATTAGTTCTTTTATTAATAAACTTTAGAAATAGATTTCC